TATATATATATATATATTTATATATATTGATTGACTCTTGAAAAGTATGGCCAAACGAGATAAACTTTAATTTTGGACTGATCACACTTGAGATTACTTAAGTACACACGCGATGGTTCGTTACTCTCTAGTTTCCATTCGGTTGTTCAATATTTCCGTATCGTCGACATAGGGTAAAGGGTAACTCACGTTTAACATTCGTGTACTGTTAAAGGTGGCTTCGACGTTTATAACATCGAGACAGCGATGCCAAAAATCGACCTGGATGCGATCGAATCGCACCTTAGAGCTGCACGTGAGGAGGAACGTCGAGTAAGTAATGAACATTCTTTCCATACAAATCAGTAGTTATTTTTATATAACACTTAAATTGTAGCAAGATTATGAATTTAGACTATTATTATAGCAATTTTATTAAATTTAATATCAGAACAGGATATTATATATCTTTCTTTAAAATTATATGTAAATTCAAATTGTTTTTTTTTTTAAATATCACATCTTATATATTTTTAGATAACATCGTAAAAAGGATGATTTTATGCATATTTATCTAACTAATTTCATTCTCCGATATGCAATGCAGTTCTATTGATTTCCAATATTTTCTTTCTTATATCATAGAGATAAGTTGTTAAATTAACTCAAGTTCTCGGGTCAATGAAAGTTTTCCGTTCATTCACACACACACACACACACACACACACGCGCGCGCGCGCGCGCGCGTGTTTTCTACTTGATGTATTCCAATTGTATCTCATTTAGTTATCGTGTTATATATGTTTGGCAAACACTCAGCAGAGTATCAGTTCTGTCTAAGGTTTCACGTTTGCATTGAATATATATTTCGCGGGGCATCAGCAAGTAGGTGGACGCATATTATGTAGATTCTTAATACGAAAACTTATGGAATAGACGTAACAAGATTTCTAAAGGAACGAGTCGATCGTCTTCAGATTTTTTGGAAGCTTCTTTGAAAGTGGAATTTTCTTTTTAATCTATCAGAATTCAACGATAAAACTATTAATTAAGAAAAGTTATTGAAAAAATGAAGAAGAGTCTGATTATTTAGCATCAAGCAACAAGCGCGATAATATATCGCGCAATTGATAAACCTTGACATTCGATGATTTCCAATAACGAAGTACAAGAATGATGAATTAAGTATAAATTCATATAAATCGTCTATGTATTCAGATGTAATAATTTTTCAATCACTAATGCAAGAAAATCGTGTGTTTTTTTCTACACTTCGTCGTTTTCGACAGATGACATATTTTGGATATTGTCCACCTATAGACCGAGAAATTTATACAGCATCGTGCTCCAAATGTTGAATTGCGCATAGGGCAAAAGTCACGCATGACTGATCAACCGAAACGTTTTACGCACAACTCCGAAGATGATTTAACGATTTTTTGTTACAACGATATGACTGATGAGAGAGTTAAAGCTTGCATAGCGCATCAATAAATTAAATAACGTGTTGCGCGTGGTAGATTATTTTCTTTCCAGTTGATAATATAATTATGTGATAATAAATTGAATGTATATAACTTTCTACCTCGTGCATCTAATTATTATATATGATGAAATCGTAGTTGCATAATATTCACGTTGTTTCTATGCGAAAGAGAATATGCAAGAATATGAAGACAAACTAAATTGATCAAAATCTTTTGGAATATAAAATCGTTTAGAAATATATTTGCACGAGTTTTTTTAAATATTAATTTGTTAATTTAATTTAGTATATCAATGTATAAATGAAATGATTTAAAATTATATTTTTGTAATATTTTCTTAACTGAACTCGATAAAAAAGAAATTTTAATGACGATTACGATTTATATATTCTCTTATAAATGTTACACTTTCGTGTTTTTCAGACTTTCTGAAAAGTTTTTGGTATATTGTTTAGTTTGTGTTCATTAAATTATTCAAATGTATTAATTGTAAGCAATACGCTACAAGAGATACATAAAGTACATGATGTACAACGTATAGCACAAAATGTATTATGTAAAATCAATATGACACATACTTGTATATCAACTTTCTTATTGTATCTAAAAGTGTGTTACTCCTGAAAGGGACTGCGGGAATGTGTCTCATCACATCAAGTCATTCATTCCGAAAACTATTGTAGGCGTCCGCTGAAGACAGCATCAGACAGCAATTCTCTTTATACCCATTTTCCGAAGCGAATTGTGAACTCGGAAACGTATAGTCGACTCGCATATAAGCCAACACATTCTCGTCGAGCACTTTCACCGAGAATCCCCGTGAGAAGCCTTCCTAAATGTTAGGCTCCAGTAGACAGAGAGCCACCTCCACGACCGCTGTTGCCGCCACTACCACCACTATCGCTATTGAACGCCTCCTTCACGATCAGCAAACCTTAACGAAAGATCTCGGATCGCTCGACTCGCTTTGCAGTAATATAGTCTCGTGCAGTCTTGTGCCGTCTTCGTGCCATCTCGCGCGCGTTCAAGTCTCGTGGCTCGTCTTCGAGATCAGTTGTACTTCTGAACCAAGTCCGATCAGCGACTCCCTTTCTAGATTAATTCTGTCCACGATAGCTCTAGAAGAGAGAAAGCGAGTTCGCAAAGCCAGCGGAAGGGGAGGAGTGGTATAAAGAACTTGGAGAAATTTAAGACGAGTTTCTGACAGATATATAAATTTTGCAAGAAAAGAAACTAATTAGTTTGTCAGGATAGGGAGGTGTACAACGAAAGTGCGCGATCATGGGCAGCAGCAACAAGTCGCGCAAACATTACAAAAAGGACTCAAGATTTGTCGCCGATCTTTACACATTTACTTACGACGACGACTTGGATTGTGTAAGGGTCCGAAGGACGAAGGGCGAAGAATGAAGGGCGACAGCATACATCAGATGTAATTTAGACGCGAGTCACGCGAGAAAATATAAATGTTAGAATGACGTTGATGAATGACGTGTTAAAATTGGAGCAATTAAATTCGCTCTGTGACTTGGGGACTATAGAATGTATCAAGGCATTTCATTCTTTCTATTTCCAAGTGACAGATCGACTTTGATTGTTAACCAGTCTTTTCTAAGCGTAAATCTTAAATCTTTTTTATGTTTTTCGAACAATACATTAAAAAAGATAATTACATCTGACAAGTTACATCTTTATTTAAATTTTTAATCGATTAATATAATATTGTTATATATTTATTTCTTGTTGGAGTACCTTTAATGTGAATGAAATTATAGCATTGATTCAAAAGAAAGATTCTGTTGATAATTTTGAGGAGAAATGCTATGATAGTCGAGGATGGTATTTATCTAATAAATATATATAAATAATTCTATACAATTCTTGATCTAATAAAAATTTCAATAAAAATTAAAAAAAAAAAAATTATTGATTATTATAATTCGTCAATTTCATCAGTTATCAGTCAGTTTCATCAGTCGTGTTTTTTTCATTTTTATTCATTGAAGCAGTGAACTTAATTATCATTGCATATTTAATTTCAATATTAAAAAGCAAGAGATCCAACCAAACATGGTTTTTAAACGTTTTAAATGTCAGATATATGATTTAAAATATTATTACTCTCTCTCTGACCTCCGAGTCACATTAATTATTTTAATATATAAGGGAATATATCAGAATTCATTTACAAAATATATAATGAGTCGCAGTATTTCTCAATTGATCTCGTGCATGTGTTCTATTTGTGTGTGACCATGCACGTGCAGGGAACGGCCGCAATATTATTGTGCTGAATGTCAGGGCCGAACGTAGACCCCAAACTTTAGGGGCCGGTTCTACCAATAAGATTTATCTTATTATTTAATATAATTTTTATATACATAAATATGATAGAGAATGCCAATATTTTATTTAATATAATTTACGTTTATTTTTTTTTAATTCCCAGGACTAGAAAAAGATAAAGAGTAAATTGGACCGAGATTAAAGTTAATTGTACATTGGTGGAACCGAGTTTTAATAATTCCAGATTTCTGCTCCTACTGTCATTCTAATCTAACAGGAAGGTCGTCGAACCGCACGATTCGGTACGGTTCCGGACCGACACAGGCGAAAGTGGGTCACGGAAGCGCGCGTTATTAATGAACAAACAGATTTTAGCAAGCAAGTTTTCCTTGCTGCGATTGCAATTATCTTATTCTACAGGAATAAGTTTTATCAAATCATTCGCAATTCAAGCTAAGATTTTTTTATAATTCTAAAAACTATACTGAATTATTTTTGTAGCACATGATTTTTAGAAGTTGTTTAAGAGATGTTTAGATACCATTTTCGACTATTGTAACATGCGTTTGATTCAATATTTTCGAATTTACGGAAATCTGTCACCCTTCGTAAAAGAATAAAGCATGTTGCCGCGCGTATTCATAAAAGCGTTTCATAAAAGTAAAAAGCATTAATTTGTGTATATAAAAGTGGCATCAAGATAATGAAGAAGGAGCTACCACAGAAATAGATAAATCTTCGCAACCGGTCATGAAAACTGAGGAGAAAGAAAAGATGGGAGAGAATTTGGAAAGGTCTGATTACGAAAGGGAAGATTTAATTATGCGATTCGACAAAGTTATACGAGGCGAACTTAATGACGATCTGCAGGTGTGAATTAATTCGACAAACGTGCGAGAGGAAAATATACGTAAAAGCTCTAATTCTAGCGAGATTCGAGTAGCGGCATGTATTTGACATCAAAAGCAATCATAAATTTATGACATTTATTGTTAGTAACTTGCAACTGTTGTATGGTACTACTATTTACTTCTAATTATATTAATTGTAATATGGAAACAAGTCAGTTTGAACGTCTTATTGCATTTTTAAATGCTTCCTACTTTTCAATTTTTATTTTTTAATTCACGTAATAAATTATTAACTGGAGAACTGCATGTTTTCTAAAGACTATATAACTATATAAAAATTGTAAATGATTACAATTGATTACAATTAAATGTACAAAACATTTTAACATATTTATGCCTTTGGACTCTCGAATTGCGCTATAATATTTATCAACAGTCACTATGTTTATCGCATTTTATAATTAACAGCCACATACAAAATGTAAAACGTATTAACGCATATCATCTATTCTTTGTGTCCGCAGCGACGAAATGATCGTGAAGAAATTAGAAGAAGACTCGCAATGGGACCTGATGCTGAAGATTTGCGCGCCGAACGTGGACGAAAACCGAGTCTCCAATCGCGTCTCCAGAGTGGTTTGTATAGATCTAAGTTTTAATTTTTTCTATCAAATATCATATAATAATATTTAAGATTCTTGAATATTCACTCCAGCCATATTGAATTGTGACGTCATAAGCGACACGTTGATTTTTCTTGCATGCCATTTGTAAATAAAAAGAATTTGGATGAAACAAAGTGATGAGATCGCTTTTAAACTTGTAAAAATGAATAAAGACTCTCTTTATATCTTCTCTGATTTTCGTTCATTTTTTACAAGTGTTTTAAAAGCGATCTCATCATTTTGTTTCACCCAAATTCTTTTTATTTACAAATGGTATGCAAAAAAAATCAACGTGTCATTTCTCGCTTATGTCACGATGTCACGATTCAATATGGCTGAAGTGATTGTTTAGGAGTGACTACTTAGTAAATAAATGAAAATGCGCAAATGATTAATCTTAAAAGTGACATCAAATTATTAATAAACAACATATACAGAAATCATATTTTTATTTATTTGGTTTTATTTGCACATATATGAGAAAGATACTTGTATATTTAATGTTGTTAATATTACCGATAGGTGCAAAAATGAAAATAATTAATTATTAGTTCAATTCCTTTATATATTTTATGAGTAAAATGCTAAACGATAAGTAAAATCACGAGAATGTGTTTGCCTTGTACAGGAATGAACCTTCAGATCTGCTTTATGAATGAAACATCGTCGGACACAGAATCCCCGGGTTCAGAGAATGACACATCTCCCGGATCTACGCCTACATCCCTTGGCTCAAAACAATTTGGCGGAAAGCAGAAGGGACCAACAAGACCACAAATGTTGAGTCTGCCGTCTCTAAGACTTGATATGGGTGCAAACTCCACACCACCGATTGATGAGGCAGACTTCTTTGCGCGGCAAGCTAGATTGCAAACTGAAGCGCGAATGGCCCTAGCACAAGCCAAGGAAATGGCACATATGCAAATGGAAGTGGAGAGACAGAGGTTGAAACAGAGTCCCATCACCGAGATGGTGCGATGTAGTTTAGAAAAAGTAAGTAGAGTTCAATTTATTGATTAACAATACTTTAGGTCATGTATAAACTCCATTTTTTACAATATTTATGGTAGAAAAAGTCTGAATAAAAACAATTAACAGAGCATGCACGCAGATCCTAGGCATTGCGGCGCAAGCTCGAAGCAAAATAAAAAAATGTGCCCCTTAGTAAAAAAAAATATTTCTTTATGACATGTGAAATATAATAAGTAATAAAAAATAACATTAATTAATAATAATTAATAGTATATATCTATTAATATTAATTTAATATAATCACGTATAGGAGAAGAGTTATCTTGTAATCATACAAATTTATGTTACAAATGAAATTACAAATGAATAATTATTAAAATCACAATAATTTTTTTTCATATTTTGATAAATGCGAAATTACCAAAATCATTATATCAAAATCTATATCCTTATACATACATTTTATTTTCAATTGAAAGAATTCCTATATTTGATTTAATTTTTCTTGACTTAATGATGACCTTAAATAATTTTTTATTAACTTTAATTTACTAAAACTTTTCTCACATGAAGCTACTGTTACCGGAATAGAATAAAAATATTTTTGTTGCTCCAAGTTTAGATATAATTAAATTAAAGAATAATCATGAATTAGTTTTAAAACATTTAAAATAGAAGCTGAATTTATATTAATTATAATATAGTAATTGCAGTATAAGGAACTACTCTCCCAATGACCTTAACACATGTTATCAAGGTCATGATCCTGAGTGATTTTGAACAAATTTTAGCCATCGCTCATTGCTCTTGAAAAAGTTGTTAACAAAAAAAAATTCATTCAAAAAAATATAATTATAAAACAAAGAATTTGTGTTTGTAAAGCAAAAAATATTTTATTATGTATAATTGACATCTTTTCCATTCTTTTTATATGGATGGAAGTTTAAATCTAACATTTCGATCCAATATATCAACATAAAACAATAAATCATTCAACATTTTCTTAATGCAGATAGGCATTCATACTCAAAATATTGAACGTTTGTAGAGAGATATTCGCGGCGTTATATGATCGTAACCTTGATCGTAAACAATTCCATTTCGTCCATTACCTTGCAGAATTATTGTAAAAAATGTTTAAAAAAGCGTTTGATATACATGAACGATTAGACGCTTTCTTTAACATAATGGCTAAAAAATATCCAATATCTGAAAATATAAATACTGAACGAATCAAACAAAACAGAAATATATTTAGCAAAAGTATTATTTTTATATTTCCGCACTATATAAATATAGATTGTAGTCATAATATTCTATATATAAGCGTAAAAATTCGAACAAATTCTCTACTCTTAAAGGCATAAAAATTATATAAGAAATTATATAAGAAAATATTTTGTGCTGTTAAAGCAGACAATTTATTTCATCGAAGCGCAGTCGTATCCAAAAGATAGGTTTTATATTGATAGGTTTTTTATTGATGAATATTTTTTGTTAATAACTTTTTAAGAAACAACGAACGGTTAAATTTGTTCACTCGGGGACATGACAACATATGTCAAGGTCAAGGTCATTGCAGGATAGTTCCTTGTACTGCATAATTAATCTATACTGGAAAGTATTGATATTGCGTGTGTTTTGAAACTTAATGTTAACGTTAATGAATTAGAATATGTAGAAAATTATATTGCCATTTTTGTGCTCCTTCAAATTGTTTATATGAGATAAATGCCTTGCTCACCACATCCTTGTTCCAATTCTGCATGCACATTAATATAAGTATTTCTGTAAATTAATCACAATTATTAAAAAAAGATTAATATAGCATTTCGGATTTTTAAAAATAAATTCATGAAGTTTAAATAGATATATCTAAACAAGAATATATACTATATATACACATATGTATGTGCGCGCGCGCGCGCGCGCGCGCGCGTGTGTGTGTGTGTGTGTGTGTGTGTAAAATAAACATATTAATTTTTCAATTTATTAGATATGTCAATACATCTATGACTCTTTAGACCAGTAAATAAAATGTAGAAAAAAAATTTAATGTTTAACATACTTTTAATCTAAAAGTATTTTATTTTGTCTGTAGAACCTGTAATGAAATCTTAATACACTGTTTGAGATTCCTTTCCGAGATCTGTTTTCTTTCTTATTTAATAAAGCTTTAAATGTTGCATATTTTTTCAGGTCGGTGTACAGTTGGGGGAGGACAGACGCAGGTTGTCCCGTGTACTTCTCACAGAGTTAAATGTCGCGCAGCTGCAGGTAGTAGCGAATGATTTGCACGCGAGGATTGCCGCATTAAACGAAGCGCTCGTCGAAGGTCTTTTGAGGAGAGACGATTTGCATATGGAGCAAGATTCAATGCTCGTTGATGTGGAAGATCTCACTCGATACTTGTGAGTTTTAAAATTTAATCTAAAGACCTTATAACATTCTTTCGTTAAAACAATATATTAAAATTTCTTTTTTTTTTTCCTTTATTAATTGTTTTCTTCGGTTTTCATAAAATTATTTACATAATTTTAACTGAATAATTTTAACTTAATAAAGATATATGCAAAATTTATTTATTGACTTATTATAACTTCTATCTTTGTAAAAAGCATATTTTTATTAGCAAAATTTTGATTGTAAATTTTAACATTAACATAAAAAATATAGTAATTAAAAAAGAAAGAATATTAACAATTATAACTTTGTTATGCAGAGGTGCCAAACAGGAATCGCTGAAGAAGAAACATCAAAACATGCAGCAGGCGGCAAGCCGGAACCATCAGCAATCCTCTCCAGCTCCGATGAAGCTGTCGATGAAACCGAAATTGACGCATTTGAATCGTGGTCTAGTTGCTCTTGTAAGAAAATAATCCTTCGCTACGAGACTACGCAGTCTCGTCAGAAATTAAATTCCGAGCGTAGAGGAGCACCACGAGCTTTAGAGGTGAAAAAGCGAAGAAAAAAAATAGATAAATTTTTCTTTTGAGAAATGAAAAAGAAAAAGAATTTGTTTCGGAAAAAAAGGTAAAAAAGAGGAAATGAAAAAATTTTTTTCGATAGCTGAGAATGGAATTTTCATTAAAGAAAAAAAGCTTGAAGAAAGCTTCTTCGGAAAAAAGAGGATAAAAAATCTCTTTTTCAAGAAAGATGATATACGAAAAAACTTTGCTTGGAAGAAAAAAAATGATTGCGTTAGAAGCCGTGGTGTGCGTGCTCGAAAACTTTGAAAAACGTAACAAACAGCTTTGATAAGTTGGAATCATTCCCATTCTAATAAAGGGAGAGCAAGTATCTTTCCTTGAATTTGTAATTTTTACAGCTTGATTAATTGTCATTAAGCACGTGGAAATAGAAATTTACGTATGTACGTATTGCATAAGCGAACAAAGCAACGATTCTTCGTTTGTACCCCACTGTTTGAAATTCTCCATCTCTCTCTTTCTCCTCGTCTGTATTCGCTCGGCCCCTTAACTCATGTCAGATTATGTCCCGCGATCCATGACATGCATGCATGTGTTTACGAGTGTATCGATTATTCCGCCTTTAAATAATAGCGTATCATTAGCGAGAACAGATCCCTTCTCTGTTGTACATATAACGAAGATTTATATCAGATTATTGCCGTATCGAGATTTCACGTGGTGCTTAAAGAGCGCTTCGTTCCGGTCGTCCAATATAAGTCGTTCACGTGTGCGTTGATGTGATGTTAAATATTTCGTAAAATCGTGTTAATTTAATTGCGTGTGTAATAGAGTATTTTGAACAACAAATTTCTGTATCTTATAAATTCATCCGTAAATTTATAAATTTAATAATTCCATAAATATTCGGATGTGTATATCTTTGCTTCGGTAGATCTCTAGATCCGCCAATAGAAGCAGTTGCTTAAATAAATCCCTCACGTAAAATTCATCGTCTCATTCGGCTTAACTGCACGAGATATCGGTAAGACGATAAATAAAGTTTTTATCTATCGCGAACGACAAAGAAAGTCAATATACTTTCTTAAATAATACAATGCGCGCGCACAGGAAAATAGAAAAAAAGTAAACGCTAATGTGGAGATGAAGAGAATGCAACGACCGTGGAGAAAACCGCGAAAACTGCGTTACATATCCAAATAGGTGACCTAGTATGCAAAAAGCGATTAGTCCATATATACAACAACTACGAAACTGTAATTGGATAGAGATATTGATTGATATTTGATCGAGTATACTGTTTACAAAATTTATGACGATTAAATACGAAGATGTCCTGGAATTCAAAATTATTCATTGATTCATATGGATATTCGATTCTTGCATCATATTATTTTTGCATGCTGGTCTCACAGGATCTCATTCACACGCAGGATTTCCAATGTAGATGAAATAAATTATAACGAATTTAAGCTGCAGTTAGCTTCGTTTCTTAAATCCTCAATTTATCCGTTTAATACAGATTATTTAACTTGAAAAATATAGATTTATTTTAAATGGAACAAACATTCGTACACTAATGTATATGCGTAAAAATTTGTAATGCTCTAAAAAAAATTGTTATTTTTAGATCCTTGATGAATTTCTAGGTAAATTTGCAAAAATAGATTACTTAAATTTTACTTAATTGTCTTTCACATTTTTAGTATTGTATATCATTTATTACCAGTTGCATTGAATTATATAATCCATGCGTGTATTTTGAAAAAACATCTCTTTCAAAAATTGTTTTCACAAATGAGATTAAGATTGAGTATCCAGCTTGCCAACATCTTTTCCAAAAATATCGAAATTATTCAATTAAAATGGGAAAGTTTCATTGAAAATAAACAGAGTTGCCACAGAAAATAAATTAAAAAATTTCCTGATTTTTCCAGATTTTCCAGTTGAAAATAGAAAATTTTTCGTAGCCAAT